AAATCATAACAATTTCGAACCAAAAAATTGGAAAAATTCATGCACAGCATCAAATTCATACACAGCATCAACTTTCATTTATGTGAAGCCACTCAATTTACTTACAATGATCACAGAAAATACCAAAAATTCATACACAACATCTACATTTAATGGACATAAATTGAGAACAAATTATGAACAATAGCTCGACTTTTCTGGTGTGCGGGTAGTTCAATTGATAATATACCAACTTTGTACCATTATGCATGTCAAAATATATAATTCATGAAAAATCCCTAATTTATAAAAAAACCCTAATTTATAAAAATCCCTAATTGAAGATGAATTCCAAATCATTACCTTCGATTTAGAGGAAGAAGCTTTATTCTGAGGGGATTCTGCTTTTGATTTAGAGGAAGATGCCATTGTTGCGCCGGGCTTCGACGGAGAAGAAGATCGGAGATGGAGTCGGCCGACGATGTAGAGGTTCGTTTTTTTTGGACGGAGAGTTCGTCGCTTCAAACGGGCGGCGACAGAGCTTTGCTCGTGGGGCGAACGAGGCGCGAAATTGGCGAAGAACGACGGAGGGTTTGGCGTCGAGCTTTGCTCGTGTGGCGTCGGGCGCAGAGTTCTTTTTTTGGACGGAGAGTTCTTTTTTTTTATGTGAAATTTCAGAAAATAAAAAGAAAGTGAATAATTTTATAACTTGTATTTATATGGGGAGTAAAATGGAACAAATATAAGGGGGTGGGGAGTGCAGTGGAAATAAATAATGATAGGGGACTGAACATGAATTTAAAAGAAGACTTAGGGATTTAAGAGGAATTTGCTGTTTATTTAAACTTTGATAAATTATAAATTTAACCTATGAACATAATTGCAATATATTTAAATTTAAAAAATTATAATTAAGTCCTAATAATATATTAAATTTCTCATGAAGGTCCTCCAATTCAATTTCGCCGGAAGCCTCAGCCCCTCTGTCCCATCATAGCAACATCGTCCATGCCGCCGGCGAACCTTCCGGTCGTTCTCTGCCCCGCCAAGACATCGTCAGTGGTCATCTCTCGGTTACAGCCTTCCCCCGCCCCAAAGTCCCGCCACAAAGATCACCTTCACTATCATGTCAATCTATTCTTTCAGTCGCGGTCACTAGCTCATCGGCTCTTACCACAGTCGCGGTCGCCTTTCTTCCACTGTTCGCCACCGACATCGACCAACCGGTCAGGGCTAGGGCCGCCCGAATCAGTCTGCAATTTCGTATCAAAATCGAAACCGAAATTGAAGAACCCAATCACTGAAGGTCAGCGGCAGATGGAGGGGGGACGACGTTGATGGGAGCTCCGGACGACGGACCATACGGCGGCGTCGACGGTGGACTGTCGGAGCTACAGGAGAAAAAGGTGTGTTCGAGGAAGACGGCGATGGCTGTGAACCGACGGTGACGATGGCTGTCAGAACCGGCCGCGGTTGACGTCGAATTTGGTCAGACGAGGGGCGGATGGCGGTGGTTTGTGAAGGCTGATGGATGCGCGCCGCTGCAATCGGTGAGAGAAAAATATTGGGTGGAGGTGTGTGTATTGTGTGAGAGAGAGAGAGATGGGGTAGGAGAAGGGTTAGTGGTGGGCCCGGATTAATTAGTGGGTGTGTATGTAATGACCAAGTTGTCCCTATTAAATGGTTAAACATGTACATTTGACCCCAATGTGTATATATATTTATTATATTAACATTAATGGTTTACTATTATTTATCAAATTTTGACTTTATCTTGACCATTGGTATGTTGTATCTAATGACACAGATTCATTCTCATTTGACCACACTTCTAAATAATTAAATATTAAATAGTGTGAAAGTTGGGCAAGAAATTTGAGGACTCGATTGTTTATGAATTATTTTACTCACATTTATTTCATACTCAAAATCTAATTCAACTGTAACTCAACTCAACTATTTTTAATATTGTTCCTATAATTAAACAACACAAACCAATCATTCTTACACATCACATCAACTTTAATTCACTATTCATCCACTCACATAATTTTAGCTACATATCATTTTCAATCATTTTTAGTCATTTATCTCTTACTTTTACATCAAATCAATTTTAATCATTTTATTTTAAATATTATTTTAATACATTCTTAAAATTCTATTAACAACTAACCATACCATCATTTTCAAAATTAACTATGCTTAACCAATATAATTTATTTTGAACAAATTATTTCATAAACAATCAAGCCCTGAGGCATCCATCGCCTGGCGCTGAGGAATATGCTAGAAGGTGTTTAATATATGGGTTAATTGCTATTTAAATATTGACCTTTCAGCTTTTGACAATTTAATCCAAACCTTTGGATAATTGTAATATAATCTTGACATTGTCGTACTTTTGCAAAAACGAACCTTAAATTCATCCGACGTTCCGTGTCTAACTAGATATATCCACGTTGGATTATAAATTTGCTGAGTGGCGAATTTTTATGGCTGAAAACTTATGTGGAGATGACAGGGCTCATATAGGGAATTAACAAGTTAGGAAACAAAAATAAAAAAATCTACCTCAATCAGAATTTTAAAAATGTGCCTTTAATTAAACCAATCAATTTAATTAGAGTTATAAAAATGTGTCCCGGATTAAAATACAACCTTATCCTAATAATTAATTAATAAAATAACATGTCACAAAAAACAAAAAATAGGCAATCATTTCCATCTGTGAACCCAGATCCGCCTTCTAAAACCCTCACGACCGCCCAATTCACCTTCCCCAACCAAAATCTACTCCTCGCCGGCGCCGCCAGTGTGGAAGATTCTGGTGCGACCCTCCTCACCAACAGCACGACGGATTTGTCGCTCGCCCGCCGGGCATTCTTCCCCAGCCCCATCCGCTTTCCGATCTAATTACTCCTTCTCGACCGAATCCGTGTTATCTATCTTGCCTTCTCCAGACCGAAGCGTGCTCCCCGACCACTATATGGTCTTCACCGTCATCCCCTCTGTTGGGATCTAGAAAGCCTCTAAAGCGGGGCACTTTGGCCTGACGAACTTCGCTATGGATGAGAACCAAAGTAACCACATCCTCGTCGTGGAGCTCGACGTGTTCTGGAATCTGGATTTGGGCTACCAGATTACAACCACGTCGGCGTGGATCTAAACTCCGCAAAGTTGGCGGTGGCCGCCGCCAAAGGGTACTGGGAAGGGGCGACGGGAGGGAGTTTTTCGTAGTGGTGAAGATGAATCGGGGAGAGGTTTAGGGTTTTGATAGAGTACGGTGACCGGAGGCTAATGTGGCGGGGATAGGGTTCCAATTTTGATTTGGAAATTTTGAGATTAGTTCTTCTTTTCACTTTTAAAATGATAATTGTTTTAATTATTCCATGTAATTAATGTAATAACACTCAGTAAACTGAAAGTTTCACGTAGATATAACTAGTCGGACATGCTGACATTTTTGAATGTCCGACGAATTTAAGGTTCGTTTTTCAAAAGTACGACAAGGTCAAGATTATATTGCAAATATCCAAAGGTTTGGATTAAATTGCCAAAAGCTTAAGGTGAAGGTTTAAATAGCAATTAACCCTTAATATATCGCCACAGCTCAATTAGGAAAATCCAACATGACTTTTGAAGTCGTTTAGGAGGGTTTTACTCAATACTAAGGTGCTATGTTGAGGCCAGCCTAGTAAAATAAAAGTGATCGAATAGAACAATTTAGGTGGAAATTAGCCCATAGAACCTTCTCAGCAAAGGAAATTGTTCAAGTGACACTTAACCCAAAAAATATAATAAAATTTAATAAAAAATAATAATGAATAACCAATTATTAATATGTCCTTACCTGGGGTTTGAATGTATCGTCAGCTTCCTCCAATTCTCTCCTAATTCCCACTCCAATCTCCTCCTCTCGCTTGACCGGAACCATGAGAAGAACGTCGTCCCTCTCCTCACCAGAGAAAAAGCACCGACCCTTGTCTCTAATTGGCTCCACCATTTTCTTCCCCAATTCCGCTTCACGCATTAAAGGTTGTGGATCTTTTACAGAGTGGAGATATTTGATTGTTCTCGTGCATTGATCGTGTTGGCTTATTGACGGTAACTAGTTCAACCAAGAATTTACATCGTTGTTTTGAATTCTCCATATTCCTATTGTGTGAACTTGCACTTGGTACTTTGTTTGTCCTATGTAATACTTCTTGATAGTGTTCTTCTAGAAAATGATTTTTCTTGGGATGATGTGCTGGTAAGTAATCGAACTATTAGGATACATGAACCAAGAAAAAAACACTTGTAGAGCTTGCTAATGAAAAGGGAGAAAAATGTTTTCTTATATAAAGTGCATTCAATATAAAAAAAATATCTAGAATCATAAACTGCAGTATGAGCACATTAGAAATCTAAAGAAGTCAACCCACGATACACCACTTAGTTTATAGTTCTAACTAAATCATGCAGTATTAGTAGGCATTTGGGACTCAACCAAAAAAGCAGATAATCACTTCATTAAGCGTCTACAGATGCTCCTTAAGTTGTTGTCCATGGTTTCTGTGATTGTTAAGCGGATAAATAGTTGATTAAAAAATAGTATAAAAAACGTTCTTTGTTGTATAAAATGGTAAACGTGAAGTAAGTTAAATCAAATCTCCCCACATTTTCGCTAAGTCTAAATTTTTAAGTAAATTACAAAAAAAATCAGAAGCAGAACTTCAGATTAGGAAAACTTAAAAAGTTACTATTTCGATCTAATGATAGCTTCTTTGCTTTAAGTTTACATCTATTTTCTTGATAGTGTCCTTCTAGAAAATGATTTTTTTTGGGATGATGTGCTGGTAAGCAATCGAACTATTAGGATGCATTATGCAACTAGTTGTGTCTTATTTGTGTAATCTAATTCTCTGCTAGTGTCCACACGAGTGGATTACACACACTAACCTCTATGTGGGTATGTGTTGATCCAGTGGTAATAAATTCCGTGGGATACTAATGAAGGAATTTTCCCTAGCCTACATAACTTCTTTGAATCGGATTTATATTTTTCTTGATCCGTGGAATGAATGATTAATTGCCTTTGTTCTGCTCGTTGTACATGATAAAAGTCATATTGAAACGATTTTACGTTCATGGTCATAAGGTTAATGTTGGGCCACTTTATTTAAAAGAAAAAAACAAAGATTAGGAAAATACAGAGGTGTACAACAGCGGAGTTAGTATGAGAATGTAAATGGATAATATAAATGGAATCTAGAACTTATGGTATCCATTAATGCTGATATATGATTTACGAGAAGTCAACCAGGAAAGAGCCAGGACTTACACAACGCTGGAAAGAAGCCTTTACAAAATTTTATAAGTATAAAACTAGTTGCTTCGAGAAAAGACTCTCTCTCTCTCTCTCTCTATTTTCTCAAAAATTGCCTTTCTCCCCAAATCGCCTCCCTTACTGTAGCAAATTCTTAGCCGTTGCAAGCCTCATCTCTGACGACCTCCTCTTCAGGCAGGGGTTTCAATCTGCCTCGGGGCCTTAGAGCAGCAGGGCAATCTCTCCCTCTTTGTCTTATCTCGATTCTTTCCCAGCGCAGGGCTTCTTCCTTTTTTGGATGCCTGTCGCATGAATGCTTTGAGATTCGGCGGAGTGGTGAAGGTTGTTGGTGTTGTCCGCAGTGGTTGGTGGTTGGCATTTGGACCATCAATCCCATTTCTTCTGCTCCTCGCCTGGTGTCCCTGAGGTTGGGCGTCGGTAGAGGTCCGACTATTTTGAGCTTCTCGGGCTACGACAGTTGGGTGTTGGTGGAATGGGTGGTGCGAGCCCTTGTGTGCTCTCCGGTGTGGACTCGTTTGGGAGTGGGACTGGACCAGGGTGTCGTGGATGTCGTCAGCCAGCTCCGTTTTGGAGAAGAAAGTTTTGTCGTCTACTTTTGGGGTGTGGTAGTGCTATCTTGGGTTCGTTGTCAAGTGTCTGGCTTAAGGGTAGTTTGGATCCTCTAGTCGGCTTGAGGAGGGCTTATTTTAATATTTTGATGGTGTTTTGTTTTTGTATTGGTCTGTGTTTGTTTGTGGTGATCTATGTTTTTGTGAGTTGTTATTTTATTTTCTCTCCTTTGAGAGTATGTTTTTCTTGTGTTTATTCTCCGCTTGTGGGAGCTTTGTTCTTGTCCTGTTGGGAGTTTTTATCTTTTATGTTTGTTTTTTTGTAGTGCGTTGTGGTATATAGGATACCTTAAGTAGTTCTCCTGTTGGGAGTTGTCTTTGGTCGCTCATACATGCGTTGGGCCACTGGCAATATATTCAAGATACGGCTGGTTGCCTAGAAAAACATGAAAGAAAAAAAGGAAAAGCGTCATGGAGGTGCGGGAAATCGAACCCTGTGCCTTTCGCATGCGAAGCGAGCAGGGGCGTATTTAGATGGATTAATAGGGGGGCAATTGCCCCCCTCAAATTTTAATTTTTTTTATTATTAATATTACAAATTTTAATTTGTTCCCCCTTTAAATTTATTTTTGCACTCCTATATTTTTTGTTTTTAAACGTCACTCGTCAGACCAACTTGTCCACAATTGTCAATTGACAATTCAACACTTCTTTCATTTTACTACTAATCTTAATACTCTCTTTTACTATCCAGGCTTGGGTTGATATATTTTGACCGAAAATTGAAAACTGAACCGAACCGAACCGATGAGAAAACAAACCGAACTGAACCAGACTTATGTGTAACGGTAACCGAAAATCAGTTACTGAAATGTTATCGGTTTGCTATCGGTTCTGAACCCATTATGTCATGTCTTTTGCCCCCTCTCAACTAATTTTCTGGTTCCGTCCCTGGAAGCGAGTGCTCTACCATCTAAGCTACACCTCCTTATTTGCAAGTGGGTTTTCTTTAATAATGAAGTAGCTAATATAGGAGAGCTATACCTCTCCATGAACCATTTTGTCTTCTTTCATTTATATATATATTTTTTAAATTTCTTGTTTAAAAATATCATATTATAATTTCATTAGTAACAATTGTTCCTACAAACAGAATTCTTCCATTACGAACAAAATAGAATTATCCGTTTTCAAATAGAAAGCAACGGGGCCATCATAATATTTTTTAACTCCTCGAAAAGGAAAGCTGACAATTTTATCATAAATTTTTTGGATGGAGAAGAAAGAAGGAGAATTTGAACATTCTTTGGAAAGAAAAAAATACGAGAAGAAGAAAAGAAAAAGAAAAAAGTTTATTTTAACAATAAACCACGAGATGGAGATAATAATAAAATCAGACATTTGAAAACAACTTATTTAAAAATCACGTATTTGAGTAAAATCAATAATAATAATACATATAAAGAAAATGATACAAAATATAAAGAAAAATAAGAGGGTGCATAAACATAAATAAATTATTATTATTCCCTATTAATATAATTTCAAAACGTGCTGAGCCTACATGGCTGCCTCGCACGCCACGTAAGCTTACTTGGCAACATTACATGCTTCGGCTTTTGATTCAGATACATTCTCTGATTGTTTAAAATAAAATACTTAATAAATAGAATTTTTAGATCTCCTCCAACTCCAAAATAAATAAGATTCTCCAACTCCAAAATTTTAAACTAAAATAATTAAGAAATAGAATTTTTAGATCTCCTCCAAAATAAATAAGATTCTCCAACTCCAAAATTTTAAACTAAAATACTTAAGAAATAGAATTTTTAGATCTCCTCCAACTCCAAAATAAATAAGATTCTTATATGCCGTCTAAATCCTCAACTCCAAAATACATAATATTCTTATTTTATATGTCATGTAAATAGGATTTTTTTGCTTAATATTATAATAAAAAATTTAGACGTAATTCACGAAATACCAAAATAAAAAATAGATAAGATTTTTTTGCTTAATATTATAATAACAAATTTAGACTTAATATTATAATAAAAAATTTAGACGTAATTCACGAAATACCAAAATAACAAATAGATAAGATTTCTTGCTTAATATTATAATAACAAATTTAGACGTAATTCACGAAATGCCAAAATAAAAAAAAAATAGTTTATATATTATTTTATTTATATAATTAATGTAAACAATAAATTTTTTATATAGTTTAAATTAAAAAAATACTATAGTTTTACAAAAATAAATTGGACACATATATTCATATTATATCTTTTCAATCCAACCATGGTAAATAAATTATTTAAATCCTTTTAGAATATCTATAAAAATAGATTGAGATAGTTATAAAATATCACATGATCTTTCTAATATATTTTAAAGAGTTGAAATAATTATACAACAACATGTGTTTTTTATTATTTTATATTTTATATTTTTTTTCAAACAACTCGTGTAGTACGCGAGTGTCGTACTAGCTTTTTTTAAACATAAATAAATTATTTAAGTGAGTCGTAATGGGTCATTATCTCCTGGAAAATAACAGAAAAGCCCAACCCCTACCAAATGGGAAAATTCCATTAGAAGGCTCAACTTTTTGATATTGTATTAATTTAAAGCTTGAATTTTATTTTTTTTCAATAGAAGACCTATATTTTAGGTTATTATCAATTTAAGGCTCACTTTTTAGTTAACTTTCCATTGTAAGGCCCAATTAACTTTATATTTTGATATAAATATGTGAACCAATTAAATTTATTTAATAATATAGTTATGTGAACAAAAATAATTTTTTATTTAGTTTATATTTTACATACTTATAATAAATATCTTTAGTAATATTTACTTAATAATATAGCGAAACTATATAAATTATATTTATGCAAAAGTTTAATCATGAATAATTTAAAAAAATGATAAGTGAACTAAAAAAATATGTAATGGAAATATTATTTTTATTAATAATATAAATATGTAATAAAACTAAAAAATAATATATAAATGCAATCTACAAAAATATATCATTTTCAACAAGCAATGACATAGTATCAACTTTTGCTTCCAAAAAGAAAAGTTAAAATTAATTTTTTTAATATAATTTTAATAAAGATATTTATTATTTTTTGTTATAAGTATGCAAAATATAAATTATAAAATAATAATAATAATAATAATTTTATTCACATAATAGTTGTTTTACATATTTATATGAAAAGGTAAAGTTAGTTGGGCCTTATAATGGTAAGCTAACTAAAATGTAAGCCTTAAAGTGAAAATAACCTAAAATATAAGTCTTCTATTAAAAAAGTACAAAATTCAAGCCTTATATTAATACAATTACTAAAAGTTAGGCCTTCCAATAAAATTTTCCCCCTACCAAATCCGATAATCGTGGCCAAGCCTCAAATCTAACCAGTAGAAAAGTCACACGTGTCAAACCTACAAAACTTCTCAACGGTTGCACACAACTTCTGTACTACCTTGGGCTCCAAGTTTTCGCCTTTTGACGCGACGACGCTGCAAAATTCTGGAGCCAAAAGCTTCCCTGCAAATTCAACTTCAATCCTCCCTTTTTCAAATCTATTAATCATTTTATATTAATTTATTATTTACTTCGAAAATTAGATAATAATTAATGGAGTACACACTATCAATTTCTCTCTCTCCATTTTCCCC